CTTTTCAAAGTATTTTTTTCCTTTTGTATGTTAAATACAGTTTAATTTTGAAATAAGTGCCATTGTGGAATGGCAAGCAGACACAGAAGTTGCTCTTTATAGAAAGAAAAATACTTAAGAGGAAGAGTGCTCTTTTATGAGAAAATAAACAAACCTCATTTAATGCTCAATAACGACATAGCTACTCAATTGAGTTTTTAAAGAACTGGTTTATAATCTTGAGAACTTCACATTTTAAAACAGGTTTGTAAAATATTTCAGCACAAATTGACTGAAGATGCATTTGAGTTACTGACTGCCATCTCTCCCACCCTTCTCTCTGACACTGCATGCTATTTGAAAAGGTACATTAAAATTATAACCCTCTTTTGATATTTTCAGGATTTCAGGCCCACACCTTGAAGGAAGTGAATGTCTCTGGGAGGTTCTGAGAACCCTTGATTTCAAACTTCAGTAGGATCTCAGGGAACTCAGCACCTCACATACTTAGGTCTTAACTGCTCTAGGCAAAAAATCTATTTGAGAGAGAGGTGTAAGAGACAAGAGAAAGGGTAAAGGACTTCTGAGTTCATAGCCACTTAACTCTAAGCTGGTACTAGCCAGCTAAAAGGAATCAACCTACAAATTATTTCCTGCAAATGAATACATGTACAATCTGCTAAAAAAGGAGAAAATTACCTGATAATTATGAGTTTTCAAGTGCCAAGTATTACCAGTAGTTAAGAGGTTTGCAAATGGCAAAACACAAGCCATTAAACTAGCAGGTGGGCTGATAAGGAGGAATCAAACAATTACAAGATAAGGTTTTTTCCCCCAAAGCTGAGGACTGGCATGAGAGCAGAGATTCACATACTACTACTTTCCCAATCAGCCAGATGAAGCTTTTCAGGATGAAGGGGAAGTTTAGTATTTAAAACTTAATGTATAAACAAGTTATTGAAAGTTACACCCTTCTTCCCTGCAATGAGGAAGAAACTGAGTTGCTCATCTTCTTTAAGGCTTCCATACTGCTGGTGTCATAAATGGAGTTGTGTTCAAGAAACTTCCCCCAGTCAGCAACCTGCTCACATATATAACAACACTTTCAAATATGTTAACACAGGTTGTTTTTTTTCCCCCCAAAAATGGTACTATTTAATGAACACTTAAGTTCTTGCACTGAGCTAAGCCTTTGCAAGTAGTCTCACCTTCCCCCTGTCATACGATAAATAGCTAATTTTTACCTCTTGTGACAAGGTAGATGTCCTATCCATTTCATCTCTCTAAAACTTTCCCATGTTCAATGGGAGTAGAAAGGCAATTAATATTTGCAAATCTGTTTTGAAGATGAACTAGTGTAATATATACGGGTGTTTAAAAAACTAACAGAAATTGTGAAATAAATCCACTGTGTATACAATGATCATTTACTGGGCCATGTCGCTTCTCTACATAGTAATAAATTATGGGTGCATTCAACAAGGCCAGTGTTCCCCACTTTGTCAGACACACAGTGTGGGCAGCCATTTATCCGTTAATTTCTGAAACACCCTTTTCGTTTATTTTACTTGCAACACATGACTCTTTTCTTCAGCCACATGCCCACATTGAGATATCCAGGCCAATTCAGTGCTCCCCCCCCAACAATCCTTTTTTTTGTAATTTATTTCTGGTATTAAAACAGTGATGAAACAGGGATGTCAGCATATAAATTTCCTCAAACTTACAAAATCACTCATAATCAGTTTATACCCAGCATTTTGTTAAGAACGTTTTAATCTAAAGACATATTTGACTCATTTGGGTATACTATGAAAGATTAAACTATTCTTAAGAATAAATAGATAACGCCACCATACCGGGAATCAACTGTACTTGCAGAGCTACCAATATAAACTAAGCAAAAAGCATAAAAGATAATTTTCAAATGTGTTCTTTTTACAAAAGATATTAAATTCTTAACTGAAGAAAAAAAAGTTGGGTTTTTTTTTTTTTAAAAGGTAAAAATTTCTGTTACAAAGTAACAAAATCAGTATTAATAAACAAGTTTCATTGATCCATGTCTTTCTGCCTGTACAGAAAAAATCCATAAGAAGGGTTTAGATTCAATTATTAAAGTTTTCACATGTTTTAAAATGACTGTTAAAATGGCTTGGTATTGGGCTAACACTTTCTTAATCCCTCTGACAGCTGCACAGGCACTGTAGGTGGTCTAGTAAAAACCTCTCTCTTGGAGAATGGTGCCCTACGCAACACAGTTCAAGAAAGCCCAGTCCAGTATTTAACAGTAACTGATCACATTCTGGTAATCACAAGATAATCCATATTCAGAATGGAAAATATGCAATGTTCCTGAAAAAAGAAAATATGGTCACAGTAATGAACTAAGTACATGAAGTAGCCACCAATGCATTTGGAAATAGTTGTATTTTTCTTGCATGCATGCTAAGAACTTGGGCTCTTTACTGCTTTAGAACAAATTACACTAATACTATAACACAGTGGGGGCCAACCTTTTTGGCAAGCACACCCCAAGGTAAACTCCCCCCACCCTTCCCAAGTGCTATTCTGATCCCCCTCCGCTGCTCAATCTGCTGTTCTGCTTCGCACTCCCTGACCCATCTGCTTCTGTGCTCCCTTCCTGATTGGCCGTGTGCTACACACAGGCTGCCCATGCTACTTGTGGCACATATGCCACAGGTTGGCCAGCCCTGCAGTAATACAAGGTTTTGTCATTCACTTCTAGCCTACTGTATTCCTTTCAGCTAAGGACTTCGGAGAGCAGTATTATTTGATTTGATTAACATCTGCTACGTGTGCGTGCACATGCATGCGCATCTCTCCCCCACCTCCCTTTCCCCCAGAAATTTAAATAAATAAATAAATAAATGGATTGTAAGTATACCCTTGTGTATGTTTATAATAGCAAACAGAAGGTGAAAAATGTGCCCTCAACGTTTCTTTAGACTGTGCAATCAGAATCGCCATTCAATACTAAAAGAATATTTTTTCCCTCGTTTCTGATGTACCTTAAAAAACAGAAAAGAAAGAAAACCCTCTATTTTACCCAATGGTCAGATGCATATAAATTTCAAAGAATACAGCAAAAAATGAGATCCGTTTACTAAGCACAGGCCACATGTGTAATTCACTTCATATTCACCAATTATGTGACTGTATGAAATGATTGTGTTACATAAGCTAAAAGACTAATTTCACAGTAAGTGACTTGAGTTAACCTTCAGCATGCAACGTCTCAATGTTATATGAACACATTTGCATAAACAAGGACTAACTTAAACTTGCTTTATTTGTTTTCAAAACAGTAAGTATTAAAGCAGTGCAAATTAAGTGGCCCAGGTACTTACACCTACAATACATTTTCCTTTCTGAAAGTTTGACTGAAGTTAGTTGGCTCAATTTTCAAAACTGACTAGCAATTTTGAACTCAACATTGAGTACTTACTTGATACAGTAACGTGTGCCTGAGCTTTCTTATTTTGCAAATCAGATCCTTTCAGGGTATCTCAAACTGGGCAGCCAAAAACTGTGGTACCTTACATCAAAACTCACATTTGAAAATGCAGGCAATAATTAAAAGGCTAATTGAAAAAAACAGTATGAGAAAACCAGTTGTTTCAAGATTAAGCATCTCTATTTTAACATACACCAAACACCACATTGCCTGCTTTCTACCAGTAACCCAAACACTAACACTTATCCCTCCACCAGGCTACCTTTTTCCCTAGACTTCAGATGCAACATTCTACGTTCTTAAATCACGACAGGCTCAAGGGAAGCACAAAGCCACTTAAGGAGGAAAAAAAGAGGGTGCCAGAGCCTCCAGAGCAAGCCACAAAATACAAAATCAACCAACCAAAACCAGTGTTCCACCCCTATCCAGTAAGGCAAGAAAATACAAATACAAGGCCAGCCTTCACCGGAGTCTCTCTGGGCTAGAGACAGAAGTTACATACCAACTGGTTTAAGTGATCAGAAACTGGTTTAAACCTCTAACAGAACCAAAGTTCAGTGTACATAAACCAGTTGCAAAATGGTTGAAACTGGTTTCAGATGAATCTGATTGAATGTAATATTAGATTTAACTGACTTGGATTAAACCAGTTTATGAAACTTCTGTGCCAGACCCCTTCCTGGTTCAAGTTAAATCACAGTCCCCCAGCATGCTTTCCAGCCCTGGGCTGGGCTATCTGCTCCAGCAGAGAAGGGGGTGTTCCCCCAAGCCGCCCCAGCAAACTCTGGGTGGCTGTCCCCCAGGCAAACTCTGGCTGGGGTCTGGGGCCAGGGAGGGGGGTTAAACTTCCCTTCCCCCAAAGTACAGAGCTGCCCTGCCAAAAACTTACTGCTGACTGCAACTGTGTACTACAAATCCCAGAGGCACCTGGAAGCAGGAAGGGGGAGTGATGAACAACCCTGGACTGCAAATCTCAGAGACCTCAGGGGCAGCAGGAAGAGGAAGCAAAACACACAGCCCATGCTGGCTGCGCCAGAGACATGCTCTAGTACACCCTGCCTTCTGGCCTGAGCCACTGTAGGTATGTGGCTGCAATCCCTGAATCAAAGGTAAATGTCTGTCCAGTTGATTCTCAATTTAATCTCTGTATTTTGGATTCACCTGAAAAGACTGAATCAACTCAGCTTCAGGCTTTTTGACCGTCTGTACTTAGCCTTGATCTCACATAGATTAAGCAAGGCAGCATTTCAAATGTCCTTGGATGTTAAGTATCAAGGGCGGACTTTTTCCCAGATTGACTCTCCTTCCCCTTTTCTGTGGTTCCTATCTCTGGTGCTCCCCTCCAAAAAAAGAAGTCTTAGAACATTTAGACAGTAGACTAGAACTCAAAAGGCTAAAAGGTTCAATTGTTCAAGTCCCAGCCGTGTTACTGATTTCCACATGACACTGGACAGGAAAGTTTTTGCGACTTCTCTTCTCAATGTTGCCAGCTCTTTTGAAATTCGTCTACACTGTTTTTTACTGCTAATGCTTGGAATCTGGTTACCTTTGGCAGCATGGGTGTGTCCCTCTTCTTTTTCTTTTCTGAATTAGGGTCATCCAGCAAATCTGGCTCAAAAGTATAGAGCTCTGTGAGCTCATTCATGGTGAAGTGACGCTCAACTTGCTGCTGGTCAACCACCCGGAAAGACAGTGACTGTTTTGTTACCTGGCGATCATAGATCTTGTCCTCCATTGTTCCCTAAAAAAACCCACACAATTTTTAAAAATGTCAGTGCGCACATACATAGGCTCAAATTACTCTCATTTGGAAAAAAAGTCATCAAATGATAGGAACAACCCTTATAAAACAATTTTCCATTTTTAATGTTTGTTCCATCACATCAAGTAGCTTACCATAAACCACCTTCCTTTTTTAAATCATTTAAAAAAAATGGCAGTTCTGGAGAGAATCCTTTATTAGCTTGTTAGCAGTTTATTAGAAAAAGAAATATATTTCAACTTCATTAACTCACGGAAATCAAATTTTACACTTCTCCAAATCTGTACTTCTAAAAATACTGGTATTTAAAAAAACTGTGTTTCTATAACATTATTCAATGCGTTTTATCTGACATTAGCAACAAAACCATAAAAAAAATCCCCCACAAGACCCAACCCTACCCTCAAAATTAAGCATGAAAAAGAGAAGGTACAAATTCAACGTCAGTTCAAAAAAATAAAGAAAGCAAGCAAGCTTAGGACACAATGGTCAAAGAAGAAAGCAGAACTGAACGTAAGTTACCAGCACAACAGAATGTGGTGAAAGCACATACAGTCCTTGGATGTATAAGCACAGGAATACAGAGCAGTAGGGAGGTTATGTATACGGCATCAGTGAGAACAGTTATGTTCAATGCTGGGATCCACAATTAAAAAGGATGTTAGTAAATTGAAAAAAGATTCAGGAAAGGTTACAAGAATTATTTGAACTTGGGGGTGAAGAGGAAACATCCTACTGTACAAGACTACAGAAGCTCAATTATTTAACTTAAATACAAAGTTAAGATTTGACTTGGTCAAGATCCAGTTAGGGGTAAAGACAGCAGAAAGGTCTTCAACCTACCTAGCTACATGATTATAATAATCCTTCATATGTGATCTTAAAAAAGAAACCAAAACAAACTACCTAACAAAAACTCCTCCCCTCTGGGGCAGGGTAGGGCAGGGGAGGAGATAAATTTGTAACAGTTCATTACAGCTTGACAATTTTCAGCTTAAAAACACTACTGAATGTGTGCAGGTACATCCCGGTATCTGATGCCACAGGGATGAAAAAGTCTATATGCACAGATTGACATTTGACACCACAGCATTAAGACCATTAATGAAACATTAGTTTCAAAACTTACCTGAGCTAGGAACCTGTACACAAACACAGGTTTGTTTTGCCCAAAGCGGTAAACCCTAAAGATACTCTGGATATCATAGGATGGGTTCCAAGAGGCATCAAAGATAATCACACGATTAGCAGCCACTAGGTTTATTCCAAGAGAACCTGCTTTAGTGGAAATAATAAACAAACGGCCTCTGGAACAACAAAAATGATTAAATTTTAGTATTTTACAAAGCAAAATTGACTTCCCTTGTCTTGGCATCCTTAAATGTTATAAATATGTTTCTGAAAACAGGTAAACTAAATCCTCTGGAGGACCTCTTATGTATTATTGAGAAGTTACAATTATTTAATTTTTAAAAATGCTATACTGTAAAATTTGCATTTGTACTGTTTTAAATAAAAAGCAAAACTTTTTGTAAGACTAACTGCACTCTCAGAATCATAGCTCCTAAAGCCCAAGACATCTGGGGCACGATAATTCATGGAAAAAGAAAATAAGAAAATTTTAGATGGTGGTGCTGCAAGGAGAAGAAATGGAAACTATTTCCTCTTTCCCATTATCAGTAAAATTTACTTTGATATACCACCAGTTGGAGATGCAGTGTCTACTGGTTGGCAGACACTCAGACAGGTCACTTTGATTCTAATAACAAGCAATTCTAATATGTAGCATAAAATACAAAAGTTTGTTTGGAGGTCTGCCAAGAAGCTCTGTACAGCTACAGTTCTCTGTTGTATTTTACTTGCTTGTTCCAGCAGACAGTGGAGAAAAAAAGAATTATATGCAGCAATTTATGGTTCAAAACTCTGGTTCTAATAAATGGCTGATTCTATAAAGCCAAGCGCTAAAAAGTGGCAGGAAATGTACACTTTTGGTATTTGGTTTTGATATTTAATTTTCATAATCAGCAACCTTCATATCATCAGATATGGATACACCAGAGTTTGTAGTATGGTTTAGAATGGCAATGTGCGATACCAAAGTCATTTCTCTCTAAGCATCTAGATTTCCATGTAGGAAAACACAAGAGCTCAACAGAAATTCACATATACCGAACAGTGCACCTGTTACTAATGTATCTGGAAAAAGGACAAGGAGAACTTTTTCTAGTTCATGAAGAATTTCAAAGCTAGAGACCAATATTCTGGCATGATGGTATGGAGTAATCATGCCTCAAATTTCAAGGGAAAATGTGAACAGCTTCCCCTATTTGTAGAAAGTGTCCCAGCCCAAAAGCCCCAAACTGAGGTGATGTCAGGGTTTAGAAATGTTATTTTCTTGTATATTTGGTGTGGAAATTTCAAATTAAAATTTGGGTAAATTTTTTATATAAAATACTACTGTTCAAATAAAACAGCAAGACCAAATTAAACAGGAACGGAATAAACTTTTCGTTTGGTTTGGGGAGGGTTTTTTTTTTTTTTTTAAAGCAACATAGAACAAATTTTTTAAATGTCAAAAGAACTGAGGGGTAGGCATCAGTAGTACAAGTTTATAGTAAAAATTACAAAGTTGCTTGACACCTCTCCAAAAACTATTAATATTTTCAAAATATTTCCAGTTATCGAATATATGAAAAATGCAGTTTTCAAACGCAGATAAATTCCCGTATGACACAATGCTCTAGGATGTCTTTTGTTAAGTGAACATTTTGCAGCTATATGAAGTGTTGGTATTTTGCTTTCAAGAAGCATGCCCAAAATAATAACTGTTTATAAGGGAAGAACCTAGACTTGTTACAATGTAAAGAGACATACATGATCTTTTTTTTCATCTTACTCACTTTAGAGCTAGTTAAGTAAATATTAGTAAGATGCACTTATTGTCAGGTTAATGGGCTACTGCTGCTACAGAATGACTCCCATTTGTTATATTCAGAAATTGGCTGAATACACTCAACTATGTGCAAGGGATAGTAAGCTTTCCACATCAAAGAACAAGGTATGTGGCACAGAGTAAACCCTATAATCAACTAACTTAATAGGAAACCTTTAACAAAATGACAGAAGTCCTTTCTTCTCAACTAAAAAACCTAACATCAAATGCATTTCTTCTCATTAAGGGCGGAACCACATATCACACTCACAAGTCAAAACTAAAAGTTTTTTTTTTTTTTTTAATTATTTTTCTTAAAACTGAGCTAAACAAATATAAGAGCATATTTTGCAACCCCTTATTTTCATTCATTAACTTTATGCTGCTTGGGAATCTCCATATTTAGTGTAAATAGTTGTGTTAAAAATACTTAACTCAAGAGGGAGAACAACAGTCCAAATATAAACTTCATCACTAATTTAAATTGCTAGCAGATGGCTGCAGTGGCCTTGCACATGAGTCATTTTATTATGTATTTACACACATGCATACATAACTAGAGAAAGACCTCTCCTGGGTAAGACCATATCAAATAGTTTCAGACAAAAACTATATTAAGATATCATTGAGGTTGAAAGCACACAGCTATCTAGGGCAAAAGTGCATGAGAGTTTTTGTAGTATCCCAAAGCTAAGTTTTATAAATCAGGTAACTCAGAGTTAAGGTTACACACATAAAAGAAATACAGAACTGCACAGTCAGGACACACAATCTTAACTCCACCATGCAGAGACATTCTGCAGTAACCTTTGGCTGAATAAGTAACTCTCCAATGAAGTGATGCGGCATAATTCCTTCCCCCTTACCTTTAAGTACAAGGAAGCTGAAGCAAAGAAATTTAAAAACAGAGATGAAAGGCAATGCTGTCAACTAATTTTAAGTGCTTGATTTGAGAAACTCAGAACCTGATTTTTCACAACACCTCTCAGTTTACAGAGTATGTTCAGCATATATAGCTCACACAGCCACCTATGATCAGGAGTGCTCAGATGTTTTGCAAATCAGATTGTATACGTGTCAAATCAGGTACTGAGACAGTGGCCATCCGTGAAAATTTTAGTCGAGGTCCTGGCATAGGATCGTGAAAAACCTCTGTACTTCTGAATATTTCTCCAGAAGGATGTTCAACTGCCTTACCACCGAGACCAGTCTTTGTCCTCAGTTTCCTGTCACATTCACCTGACACTTTTTCACGTGTGCAACAAGAAACAGGTATATACAACAGCCTCTTTCACTATGCTACTCTCATGCACTACCACAATACAGTCCATCCACTAAGAAACTTGTCTTTAAATACATGATCATATAATGCATATGCATAAAGACAGGTGTATAAAAGTTCTCTGTACATCCTTAGTTTTGGCATTTCCTACCCTAAATTCTCCACATAACAATCGTAACATATTATAGCATATGTGATTTCTAATTTTTAAGTGTAAAATTATTTTACTTCATTCTACAGAATGAATTTGTTTTTTCAATTTAATCAAATTAAATGGGAACAAAAAGTAAGTTTTTGCTTCTCCCCTCTACTAAAAAAAAAAAAAAAAAAAAAAAAACAAACCCCCCCTCCCCCAAAACCCCTTTTTCTCCTGTTTGTGTGGGTCTTTCAGATTCCCTTCGGAGTGGGAGGGCTTTTTTAAGGCAATATAAAACAAAAAATGTCAAAAGAACTGAAGGGCAGGCATCTATCTTCAGCAGCAGCAGCAGAATTTGAATCTTGAAATCCACAGCATATCACAGCACTTTGCCATCTGACCTAGGAGTACAACATGCACCTGCCACTAGAGGGGGATGAAGATGCCCTCTGCAACAACGTGTTAGAGCTGTTCTGCTACCTGGAAAAGTAGGGCTGGGACTATGGGAAAGTGCTCCATTCCAGGTTCTACAGGGAAGTGTTAAAAATATTCAAGATGACTTCCCATCATAGGGAGGATATTTTTGTACCGATTTGAAGTTAATTGAGTTGGTTAGTTCACGTAATAAAAAAAGAGATGGAAAATAGGAACAAATTTTAAAAGTTACATATACAAAAACTAGACCTTACCTCACGTTAGTTTCGTCATTAAACTCTTCAGCCCATTTCTTTCTAGACTGAGCTGTAGTTGAACCATCTAAACGATAGTAGTCAATATTTCTGAACCATTTTCCTTCACCTAGAAATTTGAAGGACAGGCGATTAAAAAGATATTGGCACAATGTAAAAATACTAGGCAGCAGTCTTGTTTTTATGCTATTTGTTCCTCAAGCACAAAAACATGCAGAACCCATGAAGAGATGGGTTTTGATAGGACATGGTGTTGTCTTGTGTCAGTTGTGAAACGTCCACAATGCAAGATGTACTATGAAATACTGAAAATAGGATTACAGAAGATAGTATAGATCATGATTTGGGACAATAATTGTCCTGAGCTTTGAAAGCAACAGGTGATTTGTTTGAGAAACTCCCCTAATCCATAGGCAGCTTTAACAATAATAAGAAAAGCAGCTTTAAAATGACTCAAGAATGAAATTAAATGAATTTTAGAAATAAGATCCTGGCCCAGATAGCGTCCCATGTCTAGCTGTATTTTCTTCTTCCCATGGAGATTTTGCTGTTTTAAAAAGTTACCTAAGTGATACTTCCAAGAACAGTTTTACTTAGTTTGCAATTTAGAAAGACGAGGATACAATCAGGATTTATACACTGAGGTCAAACTTTAATTAAAATATTTTCAGAAACCTTTAGTTAGCTTTTCTAAGATTTGCCTGTCTCTTTCCCCAGTCTGTTCCCTCCCATCCCTTCCCCCTCCCTTGTCATCTCAAGTTTCTAGTGGTCTGTACATGTTTGCAACAAAATCATCAATCAAGTTTCTTGTTTAACCTCAGTGCAAAAGTTAATTTTAAAAAGTAACTACATTTAACCTTTAGGCATTATACCAGTAACCCTAATTTTCTAATTGATCTTTGTAGTTTGCATGTTTTCAATTACTCTAGGCTTCAGTCTCTCCGATACAAATTGCACCCTTAAGTAAATGCTTGAAAGGGGATTTCAAAAAGTCAAGGTCTAATCATTTTGGAACTGAAATTTAGAACAGCTGCTTGAGTTTAATTAGCCTGTGAGTTATGGCTACTTCTTGCCAGATGTAAAAAAATTACAGCTGATAGAAGCAGATTTTTTCCTTCCCTTTTAGAACTAACCTTTCATTTTCTCTGGAGGTCAAGGTTTATTTACACAAAATGAACCCCACTGTGTCATCGATTAAAATCAGAGCAGGTCTTGTAGGAAGTAGCATTGCTGAATGATGATGAATTATGAGAAACTGCATGTTAACTCATGTCAGAAATGTCTATATTTAGTAAATCTTGTGCAGAATTGATAACCTTGTTGCACATCAAAAGAACCACCACAAACAGGAAAAAGCAAAAACCTTGTAAAATTAGCCCAAGTGATATGAACGGGCTACAGCAATGTAGAGAGCTCGCAGAATCCCAAGACGACAAATGGTGAGAAGCTGAGCAAAGAGGAAATTATTAAGTACACTATATGACTAATAGAGCACCAGCAGTGAGCAATGAAAATACAAAAAGAAAGCAGCTGAAGAACTTAACCTGGCTGGCTAACTGCAGTACAGGTATTTTTAATCACCTGTAAATTGTTCAAGATTTTTACACAAAAACAAGAATCTTTGAAAGTGATGGTAGAACTAAGGAGTTTCCTTCAACATCAGCTATGTGAAATAGCCACTCCCAGGTAAAAATAAACTGAACTGAAGTATTAAATACATAAGAAGTAATTAAGTAAAGCTTTAAAACAATAACCATGTCCCATATTCAGGAACATGGAACAATGCATGCATACAATGCATACATGTTAGATAGCAGGTAAAAACTCATCCATCAATGTATACACGTCAAACTGGAAAACTTAAATAACTTTAGTTGATTCAATCCAAAAGATTTAGATATTGGAAACATTTCAGGTGACAGATATGCTCCCTATGATGCAGAAGATAGGGCAGGGCAGCACCACAGATGAAGTAATTCAGAGTCATGAACTTCTGTAGGCGACAACCTATGTAGTCAGATGCTAGGCATGAAAATTCATGCCTCAGAACCAGTCAGGTTTCTGATGCTACCCTGCTCTGACTTCTGCCTGACGTAGGTAATCACATCTCCCCCTCCTCCTCGTGGGAGATAATTCTGAGCAAGAAATAGATTTGAAACCAAACCAAAGAAACTTTACTCTCAAGTATACTTTTTGGTGCTTTGAGTAGCTGAAAGCAATGTTTAGAACAGAAACATCAGAAGCTAATAACATTTATTTTATTCTATAATACTTTACATATTTGATTAATGACTGGATCAGACTGGAGTTTTCTAATCCTCCATGGATACTAGACTGCAGAGAGAGAGGGTAATCAACTTCCTGCCCCAAAAGTCCATATACAGACCACAAACCATGATGCCTTTCAAACTGCAGAACTGGCTTCCACATACACAAGAATACATATAATGAATTGTTTAATAACTAATTTTCTGAATGCCTTCCCTAGGTAAAAGGTATTCTCTCTCTCTCCAACAGATGTTGCCATCACCAAATTAATTATAAAGAACATATTTTAAAGTGGAAAGATGGAAACAATAAAAACATATAGGTCCAAAATATGATGAATAGCTACATATGACCTTGCAATACCTTTAAAAGTCATTTGAAGAAGCAATTCTATACTAAATTTTTCCTTCACTAAAATACCATGGCATATACTACCATTTTAAGGGAGACCTGATATTTCACTTAAAAAAAACCCAACACGTTTAGACCTCAGCATGTCAAATGGCAGGTTCTCCATAAGATCATTCCAATGGAGGAGCAAGGAAGCAATAAGTCAGTTAAATGAATCTATCCTTAACGCAATTAAAATCCATACACATACAACTCGAGCAGAAAACTTTATTAAAAGGATACTCCCAGTCTCTTGGGAGATCTAGAAATCACACTCACCTTTATAAATAGGTTTCTCTTTGTCAGTTTTCTCCGTGCTGGCCAGCTCAAGAAAGTCTTCTATCAAATCCAGTGATATTAGAGACTGGCTAAAAACTAGACTGAAGAGAGAAAAAGCAGCATACAGCATTCGCCTCCAACAATTTCAACAAATTTCATTATTTTTTTCCTCGTCTTCAGCCTGGATATTATCTTTGAAACAGATTAGCTTTTTAGACTGAGTGAATCTTGCTTTTATCTTAAGATAAAAATAACTTAAGCAAACATAAATATTTCAGACAAATTGAGCTATATCTTTGAGCTCAACATAAACATTAAAATGGGCAGATGATGAAGTAAACTAAGACAAAATAATACATTTAAATAAGAATTAAAATAGAACAGAACAAAACTTCCCACAAATTACTCATTAAAAAATCCTGACTTACACTTTGTCACCAAGTTCCTCTGCCATACGAAGTATTTCCAAGAGAAGAACCATTTTCCCAGAATGCTCCAATATTTCAGCATCTGCATCAGTGACAAAATCCTTATACCAGTCTGGAGCTGGGCTTCCTGGGTTGGAAGAGGATGTGGCTTTACCTGCAAAAGAAAGATATTATTAAACTAAAAAGAACCTCCTTAACAGGAAGGCTCCAGACTGTCTAAAATTCAGATGCTTAAAAATCCTTAAAGTACAAACTAGTCTCTGCAATCAAAGGTTTTGTGTTTAATTGTACTGACGGCACTAAGTCAAGGATCGGCTAATGTACAACAGAACTGGTTCAGCTTTACTAATGATCAGTGTAGCTCTGCTACCTGATTTCCCCAAGGGAGTATTTATCCTTTACCCTCAGCTACTGTCTCTCCTAAAACTCAGCCACATGTTTTACCTGGACAGTACAGTTGTTTCAATTCCTTTTAAAATCATGATCCTAAATTCCAAGCAAGGATTTTTTTTTTTTTTTTTTAAAACAGGAAAGCTTATCTAAAGCCATCCACATAGGGCTATGTAGGATTGCTCCTCAAAATATGTCTAGCTGTTGTGTTTGTTTTGATGTACATTAAAATCTCTCAAGCCATTTCACTTTATTAAATGATCCACTACAAAGGCACAATACACAATAATAAATCTCAGCAACCTGAGCTTGGGATTTGTTTTGTTCTCTTTAAAAATAACAAATCAAGAGCAAAAAGGATTTTTTTTTACCAAGTCAAAACTACTAATGATATCTTCCTAAGTTTACCTAGAAAGAGCCAAGTTTTTAAAAATGGATAAGCACAGAAGGGGCAGATTTTTCATAATAATTGTATGCAATCTTCTAGAACTGTTCACAGTTATGACTCTTTGTGCTGGAAATAGTACAAGTACACAGAAAGAGGTTTAATTTCTTTATGGAATATAAATAACTTCTTATTTTGAATATCAGATCATAAACAGTTCTTTAATCCACTGTTTACATAAAACTTCTAGTGAATTGATTTAAGGTGCTTCTAAGGTCTTAACAGCTGAGTTGTGTGAAATTAACAAAATGATACTTTACAACATTTCCCTTGTTTCATCCTTCCTAAAAATAAAAATGATAAAACAGATGAGATGAGCAGAATTATAAAAATTTGTATCTCACTATTTCTGTGCTGAAATAATCGTACCAAAAAAACCCAGGCAACATCTGTTTTGCTATAACTCCCCTAGTTTTGAAGCATCTGGAATAGAGAATGCCCTCCTCCTAGAGAGAGCTTTAAGTCTATTCAGAAACACTACTGAATTTGAAGGTTTATTTGCAAACTCATAATTTGATCCTGAAATGCAGACAGGAATCAGGGGTTGTCTTTATTTATGTTACTTCAATTCTTTTTATAATGTTGTATGTTCCTAGCTTTAATCTTCTTTGCATTAGTGTGATATATATTGATTTATTAGAATTACAATACAAACATTTGTTCACTTAAAAACTTTGATCTTAATGCACTGTTTACTTACATAGAACACTTTTCTCCTAGTCTACTGGTAATTCAAAACATTCAACTTTTAAGAGCACATACAACAAACTAGCTGAAAGGAAGATCCATCATGGCTGAATAATCACCCCCAACATCTCAGTCAATATCCTCTTCAGAATAGAGGAAAGAATTCTCTCAAGAGGGTAATTTCTCTGTACACATTTTTAAGAGTAGTTCTAAATGATGTTAAAGTTGGTCCTTAATGCAACCTATTGCGACTGACTTTGATCCAATGCAATGGAACCATTTCTTGTCGACACCAAACCGAACATAGAAGAATCAAGAATGCAAGCTGTGAACACTTTAATGATCAGTTTCCTTTTTTCAAAGTTTGAATCAAATAGCATTTCAGCGTACTGGAGCTATTTGAATTTTTTTCTAATTTTACCAAGATCACAGGCCGAGTGTATGAAAAAGCCAAGGGGTATTTAAAATACTACGGTTAAGGACCCAAGGAAAAAAGGTGATCGAAAAGGGCACCGGAAGCAGCTGTCTGCTAAAATGTACATAAACACACACCCCTTTCAAAATGAGGTCTGTAACTCAACTGAAGTTCAGTCTCTGCAGGAGAACCACCGAAACAAAATTCAGTGCCCACTGGAAAAACGATGAGCCATAAGCATAAACTGCAGGTGCTAGTAGGGTGCCATCCCCTGCCTCCAAAAAGGGATAATTATTAATTAGTTGTATTACAACAGGTTAAGAGCTGCAGTCATAGACCAAGATGCCACTGTATCACACGCTATGCATACTGAATAGGAAGACAGTTCCTGCACCAAACCTAGTAAAAAAATGAGAGCCAGCAGATGTAGATAAGCATATGTGAGTACCAGGAACAGTAAGATACTATTGATTAGCAATGATAGGCAGTGGTGTTGCTACCTCAGTGGCCTAAATGCTGTCAAGCTTCTTGCAGGCATCACAGCAAAGAAGAGTTTTTAAAGAAGCATCTGGAGGAGGATATAGTTAAATAGTTTTGCAGATGTCTTACCCTTCAAAAGAACAAGCAGCACTCTGGCAGCAGGCACAATATGGTGCTTGTTTGAAAATTTAAAGGGTGAATGACAGAAGCTAGCATCCTGGGCCAACTACTGACAGGTGCTAACCTCTTATTAGAGCATGACAAATACTGGGAAGCAGGAGAAAAAAATTCTCCCAGATTATCTGAACGTGCTGTGAAGGACTCTGGAAGTGAAAATAAATTGCTTATATTAAGCAGTAGACAAAGAAAATTATCTGCGTAGCAGCATTTGGAAGGGATGCAAGCATGTGAAAGTAAGAAAAATAAATAAATAAATGTTGCAGATTGGGAGAGGCTTGGTAGAATATAGGCACTATGGCAGATGAGTGTCTATATTGGTAGAATATAGGCACTATGCAGTGATTGAGAAAGGAAGTAGTAAGAAGAGTCAGACTTGGGGCAGATTACCAACACTGCAGCTCAAGTCATTTACCAGTCGTTACATTGATTAGGAAGGAGGAGTCCTGGAGCAAAGAGTTAAGCACATATGATGGGACCTGAGTTTGTGCTTGAAAAATCAGATTACCTGGTGATAAAAGTGTAGGGGGTGACGTGAACAACTCTACAGTCTTAGCCAATGTACAGATGTTCATTTTCTACTCAGAGATTTGCTGTTCTCCTAGTAGGAAACAAAAGCATGCAGACATTCAAGCTTTTTCTTGCACATCAAAAATGGTCACTCCAGGATAAAAAATAACCCAGGAACAAACAGGGTTAAATCTTTCCTGGGGAGTTTCTCCTGGGAGACTGAATACCTGCCTACTTTCTCCCCAGCCTAACTCCTCCTGGGGACCAGGATAAGTGTAGCCAGAAGAAAGGCTCCCATGTCTTTGAGACTGGGTTCTTTGATCTGGAGAACATGCGGAGGCGGTGGGGGGGGGGAAGAAGGGAGGGGGCAGCTGCTCCCTCCCTGCCAGTCATAGACAGGAAGGGAGGGAAGGAACTGCTTCAGCTGCTCCCCACCTGCTCCTCACACCACAGTTCTCAGCGTGAGAAGCAAGCTGGGGCTTTGCTGTGCTGCTCCTTCTGCTGAGCTCCTGGATAGGAGGAGAGCACTTCTCCCTGCCAGCTTCCCCTTGCCCCCAGCCCCACTCAGCTGAGTGCTGGGTATGGCAAACGAGGCTTGGAAGCCTGGCTCTCAACCACGCCAGCTTCCCCCGCAAATCTCTCCTGCTGCTTAGCTGAGCAGTGGGAAGTGATTTAAAAGCTGGAGGGACCAGCAGCCAGACGTGCACAGGCTTTCCCCCCAGAGGCTTGCCATGGTGGCTGAGTGCTCCCTTGCCTTCTGTACTTCTCCAGGTCAGCCCAGAGGAGGGCAAAGAGCAGGGACTATTCTCTCAAGGGGGAGAGCTGGGAGGCTTCCCACCTTGGGAGAATTTCCCCTCTTGCCAATCACCTGATTGGTGGGATGTGGCGGAGGGGGCATTCTCCTGGGGCTGGGACCCTCCCAGAGCAGTCTGTGACAGCTGCTGCTTTTCAGCAGCTGACAGCTGTCACTTGACAGCCTGTCAATTAACAGGCTTCCCTAGATGGGGGGGGGCGGGGATGCTGCTGATGATAACCCTCTAGTGCCTCCTGGCTGAAAAGCTTGCCTGTGAAGTTCTCTAGTCACGGGGCTGGAGGAGTGTCTCTCCTGGTGGGAATAATGTCTGCATGCAGCCCTAGAGAACTCCTTCAGAAAGCAGGAATGGGCAGTAAGCAGAATCAGAGGGATATTGATAAGGTACTGAGAAGAGCACAGTTGGTGGTGTCAAAGGCAGCTAAGAACTCATGGTAGAAGAGAAAGAAACACTGGTTTTGAGTTTTCACTAGGAAGCCTTTGGTGAAAGCTATTTCAGAGCAGTGCAAGATTACAGAAGCGTAAAGATTCAATGAAGTGGGGATCTCCACAAGAGGATTGTAAACAGCACACTCAGGCCCTGGATAACTGCTAATTGAAGAACTCCAGATGCTTCTGAAGGGTTCCAGTGAGGGTATGGACATGCATGGCTGACAAAACACTTAAAAATAACCCTCAATAAAAAAAGAGGAATATTTTTTACTCATTTCCTCAAAGAGCTTGCTAAAACGTCTGAATGGGCCAGTGATTCTCTGACATTCCCAAGAGCTGTCCCACTAACCTAGTGGGACAGCCCACAAGTACTTTCCTGTGTGCTCATCTGTTCTGGGGAACCTCTGACAATTTTGAGGCATTCCAGAGATGGGATGGGTAGTGAGGCCACACATTTGCATTGTGCAATTTGAAGTGCATCAGGATTCAGATCAGTCCAAATGCACGTCTCTGTCCATGGCTTCAATGGATCAGAGATAAAAAGAAGAATAGGTGGGCAAAAGAACAGTAGCTGGGATGAAGCCACTATAAGAAGTGGAGAAGTCGGAAGAGGAGAAGCTTTTGTATATGTGATGGAAGGGAAGAGAGAGAAAAGAATGGATTATAAACCAATATAAGATTAATGGATTATTAGCCAATACTTTACTTTGCCCATAGGAGAAATCAGCAAGATCCTGTACAGGGAGGGAAGTTCAGGAAACCCTTGCTGTTTGTGGGTTCGACATTCGCGGTTTGAAATATTTGCGAATGCCAAACCCGCATCTTAAATACACTTAAAGGAGCTCCTCAGAAACTCCGTGCTTGCCACTGCCGCACTCCTGCCACTACTATCACCAGCACAGCCATGCCCCCCCAGCTGCCAGGGACACTGTGTTCATGAACGTAGACGAACACATCCACCGTGAATGGCGATGGTCTCCTGTAGATGGAGGAGGTGGGCACTCTGGCCTTGTACAGAGTCAGCACTCTCCTAGGAAAAGCCATGAGTGTACAGGTGTCCAGGATTCGTGTCCCGGAGCAAAAATGTCTGCTTCAAGAGAAAAATAGCCCAGGGTTAAAATCACTCGCAGGAGAGTTTCTCCTAGTGAATGTCTATATACATTTCCTTTTAAAGAAGTCACATTGTGGTCCTCCAGCAACCCAGGGTGCTTTACTCCCCACTTCCCTGCAGTGTGCCAAGCAGGAAACAGAACACACCCCCCTTTATGATCCCTACATTGGTGTTTCAGGGAGACAGGATAATGCTGAGCAGTCTGAGTTAGCCAATCAGGGCTTCCCTGTACCATCTGTCTCCAGGCAGACAGAGGGAGCCTGCAGAGATGAGATGTGTGTGCAGGGACCCCCTGGCTGTGCAGTGTTAACACTGCAAGCTCTCTGCTCTTCAGGGGCTCAGCATTCAATTGTCTGTTCAGAAGATCCTGGGTAAGTTTCTTTACTAAGAATACAAACCTGGGACAACTCTCCCAGATCATTTGAACATGTAACGTACCCCTGTGATCACACTTAACCTTTAAATTAATACCACAGCAAACAATTCAGTTACTTCAAATGGACTTATATATGTAATTGGACAAGCCTGCATACAACAACCTTAACCCTGAACTTGCCTACAAAAGACATGTTATAAATCAATCTAGACGTAGGACCCCTTTCACCAAAAAAATGAGGGAGAAGCAAATAGGTAAGCCTCTCTCGGTGTACCAAGCATCCATGTTGAAATTAATATATATAAAAGTCAGATGAAGTAAAAAAAATAATACAACCCTTACAGTTATGAATTACATTTGTAGTCTAACTAATCAAAAATAACGTGACAACAGTACTTAAAAAGGAGAGAGTCTAACTAACTGCTGGCAATACATCCCAATACATATTACAAACCATTACATGTTTATAACTGTATTTTGCCATAACTACTTACATTTACAAATTCAATTTTAATTTTCAAAATTTCCATAAATACAAATTCTGCTTTTTTGATGATAGCAAAGTTATATTTATTTAGGAAAGGTTATTTCATTCATAAAATGGTACGCCATCTGTCATCTTTAACATGCACTTGAAAATGACTCATCACTCAGAAGCAGCAAAAGATAGCTAAAATATTTAAGTAAAACTACTTAAATCATGTTTACAGATGTAGGTAGGCTGATCAACTTACTCTCAAAAAGCCATTTGAGTCTGTGTTCTATCCACCTGTTCTGAGATCCTTAAAACCCCCATAGGTTTAAGAATTGAAAAACAATAGTTTTCTATCATTCAACAGCATATTTCACCTGTGAAATCTACTCTGAATTTACTTTACGATTTACTTGGCAAGAAAAAAGGAGGGAGGATTTATTCTATTATACTGCATAAGAAAACTTTGACTTGTTAACTGTTCTGTCACAATACAGGCAGTCCCCGGACTTGCAACACAATTGGTTCCTGAAAACCTCGTCTTAAGTCAAAATGTTGTAACAACCAATTTTTTCATAAGAAACAATGTTATAAATGGGGGACTAGTTCTTGAACCAAGGCCCTATACCCTATTTTCACCAAAAATACCCCAGAATTTTGTACCTGATCAATTATAGATGAGTAATATAGCTACATTAATGTATTTATATTGTAAATAGCAATCCTATTGATTTGGAAGGACTTTTCTGAGGTGACTTTGCTGGACTTTTTGAACTGTTCTTGGCTGGATTCTTCTCAGGAGTCTTGGTTGCAGGTTTTTCTGGAGTCGTGTCTGCTTTCTTAATGAAAGTGTTTAAGGAAGTTTGGACACATGTTCTCCAGGGAGATGGGTGACACAGCAAACTTGTTCGCTGGCATGGTGTCACATCAGATCAAGCATTGTAAAAGTTGAAACTAACATCAACGTTGAAACAGGGTGTCAATTTAGAAACGTTGTAAGTGCGAAACATTGAATGTTGATGACTGCCTGTATTCTTTCACCCTTAGAGAGTGATGCTTCTTCTATTTTTCAATGGGTAAATATTATTACAAGTATATTTTTATATAATAAAAAAAAATTGGTAGGGTGGGCTAGAATAGAGAAACAGTTCCTTGAATTAAGATGTCATCTTTCATAACTGAGTGTAGTGCAAGTTGATTGAACATAATTTCCCCATTGATTTGTCATGAATAAACAAACAATATCACTTTTCAAAGTGATGCTGCACCATATCCTGATTTACTTGTGCATTATACTTACCCTCCTCTGATTTTATAGGAATAGCAGGGGTGTTTGCAAGGTCCTCTGTATTTCCTTCTCCACCTCCACGAGACCTTGAATTCCAAACTTTAATCACTTCAACATCATTATCACTGCCACTGCCACTTGAGCTGCTCTCTTTCTTTGCTTTTTTCCCCTTGGATTTTTTTTTCCTAAAAACATAAACATTGTATGCTTATTATTTAAGAAGCTACCATTCAGAAAACATAAGCAATAGTAAAAATAAAAATGTTGCTTAATTGCATTGAACATTTACTTAGTCGCTCTAAAAAGGAAATGAAACCTACTGATTTTGATCATGTACAATTTACATGAAACAAACAATTTACTTTGCATAATCATCAGAGCTTAAACTCATTGAAGTTTCGTCGGAATCTGAAGCAATGAAGTCATCCAGACTATCTTCATCAAAATAGCCCTGGAAAACAAAATTAACATTCTTAGAACATCGATATTACTGGTATTAAATAACATCATCCAGACTGAAACCTTCTTTTAAACACTTAAGCACCTACTTATCCTTCATTTAAATAATACCAAGGTCAGTGAAAGAGCAGCCTTCCAAACTGTTTTAATAATGGCAAAAGACTCAAACAAAAAAAATGCTAGCCATGGGTAAACAAAGCTGGCAAAAATCAGTACATTCAACAGCAACAAAAATTTCCATTCATTTGCCAAAACTCTTCCCAACACTTGGTAATGACTCATTCAGAAAGTTTACAAGGGAGGCACAAGTATGTATTTTGATATACCTAATTTACCTTATTTTCTTTGCTAATATAGTCCAGCTGCAAACACCAAGGGTGAGTCCAGATTCTACTTAACATCTGGAAGTCCTGAAATAGTTTAGTTCCAGCTTTGCCTCTTCCACCTTCACTGCTGCTACCTACACCTGACAATAAAGTTCAGATTTTAGAACAAAAGCTTGAACAAGTTTGCCACAACTTCCCACCCCCCTTGAACAACCCATTAGTTCTCTGCAGTGTTCTCTCCAGGTGTACACCTTACATTTTAGCATCTCTTGTAAAAGTGGTCATATTAGTTAGTTACAAGAATTATTTTTCCAGTTAAAATGGTCAAAATTAGATTTTCTCTTCCTTCTTGGTAATGAGAAACATCTTAATGACGACAATTATATCCAGGAGCGTACTCTCCAGTCAAAATGAGTTCACTAAAATCCTGTTAGAGGGCACTTATTCATAGTTAGGCTTTACAAATGGCATTGTTTTAAAAACGGTAAGATTTATATTTAGGTTTCAATGAGTTCAGCTGATTATTCTGATGCAACTGTTTCTTCATATGCTTTGTAACATTCGCAAGGCATTACTATGTTAGTGTACACCAGCCAGAAGGTAGGTAGATAGATAGATACTTAATATACTCTTCATTGTCTAAGTTGAAATGAGTGCAGAAAGTAAACACAATTTGTGTATTTAAACTTTTCTTGTTTATAGTCTAAACTGCTGGTAAAGAAATGCACTGACTTAGAGTCCTGAAAACAGACTAATTTTCCCAGCACTTTTTTAAAACCTTTGTTAACAAGAGTACTAAGGACATTATCAAAGTGAAAGGTAAAAGTAAGTTAAATTAGGGGAGCCAAGCTGCTTTTTGCCATTTTATAAACATTTTACACACTGGTTGTCTACATATACAGTAAAAGCTTTGTTATCCGGCACCCAGGAGGGATGGAGGTGTCAGGTAACAAAATATGCTGGCTAACCGAGAAGCCCGAACAGGCGTCTTTGCCTGTTTGGGCCGCCGCCCCTCCAGCCGCATCGCCACCCCTCCCACGGGTCCTGAGGGACAGGGAAGCAGGCCCTGCACAGATTGCTATGCTCCGGGGACTTGGAGAAGCCAGAAGTGCCACAGTGGGCACTTCCAGTTTCACTTTACCTTACAAGCCAGCATGCTGGTTAATAGAACGCGCCGGCTTGTAAGGTGCTGGTTAACAGAGCTTTTATTGTAGTTATATATGTTCTTAGCTAGTAGTTATATATGTTCATAAAATAGCAACTTTGGTGACAGGGCTAGAAAAGTAGTTATGACAGTTTATTTAGATGCTCTGACCTGTTCTTACCAAAGCAGAAAAGTCACATGCTTTAGAGTGTCATTAAGGTAACAATTCCTATAGCTCTTATACTATATTTTCTATGTTGTTTCCTATATCCAGTTATTTTTTCTATATTTTTGAAGAACAGAAGCAGTCTTCCCTGTCAGAAAAGAAAAGAAAACTTCCTAAAACTGTATATTTTAGTATTCTCTTGAAGCATATCCAAAACAGAACTTTTCTTTTTAAACTTCTACATGTATTTGCAGCTAAAAAGCCTTCATAAGGGCTTACTTTCAGATATTTACTTGATACAAATCAAGTTACACTTATTTAGTCAGAGCTACTGAAACATAAAACTAATGAAGAACATCGCCATGAGTCCTCATTTCTTAATGCAGAGCATGGCACTTCATTTAGAAATCAGTCACCTGGCTTAAAAGGTAGTGGCCTAGAGACAAAGTAACACTTGAAGACTGAAAGTCTAAACAGATTTGTGACAACTAGCAGTCCTTGAGTGAGCTGGGGAGACGCACTCTTAAAAACCCACTAATAACTAAGAGCAAGGCTACATCCTTCAGGTCTGATTCAAAGACTATTTAAGTCTATCGGAATGTTTTCTCTGACTTCAGCAGGAACTGGATGAGGCCATTAGAGGCAGTTTGCTTCAATCTGCAGCTTAATAAATACAAAAAACACACAGTTTACTTGTGCCCATATCACGATATTAAGTGAAGTCTCCAGTGGCAGTACAGAATAAAAGCCTATATTATTTAAACATGCTGGCTATCTTTTCTATCAGTCAGTATGCCTCATGAGAGAGCACTCCCCCTTGTTAAAAACAAGCTCTGTGTAATATGGCAGATAAAGAAAATCATTAGCACTAAAAATTATGGGAAAAAAAAAAATCACTAACTTACAAAGCAGACCAGGAAAATGTACAGAAATTTGTGAAACCACTACTGCTGCTTTGACATACAAAGCTGTTATGCTCACTCTTAGAATCATAGAAAATTAGGGTTGGAAGGGACCTCA